AAGGCACTGTATGAAGTCATAGTAAGGCACTGTATGAAGCAATAGTAAGGCAGCATGTAATAGCAGATGGTTCCAATCAAATGTAGAAGAAACTTAAATTGTTTTCTTTCTTCTAATTTTTGAAAATATTTTCTGCACAAACTTTCTTTGCGTAATGAATGCTAAGAAAATCATTTACTGCTCTCCACTTGGCACATTTTAATCTGCACATTACCCAAAAAGGAAGTTTTACCTTTAACCACGAGTGCTTTCAAAATCAAGGGGTAGAGTGACAGAGCTCTTTACCCATGCATTAACCGAAACAAGTAGAATTGAAAACGGGCGCTTGTCATCCGTTGATAAGAGTCCAAGTGCCAAAATGATCTCCCCCCCCCCCCCCCCCCCCCCCCCCCCCCCCCCCCCCCTACAGGTAGGACCGATGGGCCGGGTACTGAGCCGGGTACTGAGCCGGGTACTGAGCCGTGTACTGATCCGGGTACTGAGCGAGCCGGGTACTGAGCCGGGTACTGAGCCGGGTACTGAGCCGGGTACTGAGCCGGGTACTGAGCCGGGTACTGAGCCGGGTACACGTAAATACCGAGTACTAGCACAACCGGGCAAAAAATGAAAAGTGCTTTTATAAAACCAGTCAATCTTTTTAAACATAATTTTATGCACATTGGACCTGAATTAAATCAATAATACTAGAGATGGGTGCAGCGCCGGCTCAAGGCACCGGCTCACAGCTCAAGGTACCGGCTCACGGCTCAAGGTTCCGGCTCACGGCTCAAAGTACCGGCTCACGGCTCAAGGTACCGGCAACTCGGGCTGTTGCTCGGGGTGCCATGTTAAGGATGCCATCTAAAATAGGAAAAATTGCATGTGGGCGCCATGGAAGAAACATTGCATGTGGGCGCCATGGAAGAAATATTGCATGTGGGCGCCATGGAAGAAACATTGCATGTGGGCGCCATGGAAGAAACATTGCATGTGGGCGCCATGGAAGAAACATTGCATGTGGGCGCCATGGAAGAAACATTGCATGTGGGCGCCATGGAAGAAACATTGCATGTGGGAGCCATGGAAGAAACATTTAAGGTGAAATAAAAGCTAGAAGAATAAAATGTCCCCAGCAGGCTAACTGTTCATACTGCCCATGGCAGGCTAACTGTTCATACTTCCCACGGCAGGCTAACTGTTCATACTTCCCACGGCAGGCTAACTGTTCATACTGCCCACGGCAGGCTAACTGTTCATACTTCCCACGGCAGGCTAACTGTTCATACTGCCCACGGCAGGCTAACTGTTCATACTTCCCATGGTAGGCTAACTGTTCATACTGCCTACGGCAGGCTAACTGTTCATACTGCCCATGGCAGGCTAACTGTTCATACTGCCCACGGCAGGCTAACTGTTCATACTGCCCACGGCACGCTAACTGTTCATACTGCCCATGGTAGGCTAACTGTTCATACTGCCCATGGCAGGCTAACTGTTCATACTCCCATGGCAGGCTAACTGTTCATACTGACCACGGCAGGCTAACTGTTCATACTGCCAACGGCAGGCTAACTGTTCATAGTGCCCACGGCAGGCTAACTGTTCATACTGTCCAAGTTAAGAAAAACTCTATTCTGGTTCATTATTTGTTTTAAAAAACCACCTAGGTCCTCACCGAATCACCAGTATTTGCCTTGCACACATTTTGATGAATTACTTTAAAGGGGCGCCAACGTTAAGCTTGCCCGGGGCGCTCAATTTGAGCTTACCAGGGGCAACAGCAACCTGGAGGGATGCCATCTAAATGTAAGCTGAATAAAACTTAACGTAGGCTCAATGAAACTAAATGTAAGCTTAATGAAACTAAATGTAAGCTTAATGAAACTAAATGTAAGGTAAAGAGACTAAATGTAAGCTTGCTGAAACTGCAAAGCTCTGCCACTAATAACGTAGCCTACATCCTGTGATGTGTGTGTGTGTAATGTATAGTCTTGGCTAGTTGCATATCTTTGGCTAGGACCATGACGTTTTCTATTTACAATTAGTATTTCATTTCACATGCTGACTGGCTGATGATGCTGAGCTGCCAAAGTTTGTGTGTGTGTATGTGTGTGTGTGAGAGAGAGAGAGAGAGAGAGAGAGAGAGAGAGAGAGAGAGAGAGAGAGCGAGAGAGAGAGCGAGAGAGCGTGTGCGTGTGTGTCATTTCTAAATTCTCTTATTGTCACAGAATTCAATGATAGCAATGTTAATGAACACACAGTGATGACTAAGTGAGGCAGTTGGCGTGAGTGGAGAGAGGGGCTAGGGTGGTGTCACCGTGATAATGATAGAAATAGTTATTTTTAAAAATGGTTAACGGGAAAAATGAAAACTGCTTCTAACCAGCGACCAGCAACACTAACACGGGTAATACAGAGCTCTCCTCCATGTTATTATGTATATGGTTAGGGTTCTCAACATTTTTGTGGTTCTCAACTTGTGGGTGACAACCCCTTCAGGGGACGCCTGGCAAAATATCAGGGTTCGCTTCAGAATTTCAAAAATGTGAGCGGTTTTTTCGTGTGTGAAATCGAAACATGTTTTTTGGAATCATTTGAAATTGTTATCTTACATTTTAAATATTCGTTGAAGTAGTCGGTATGGTTTCTCATTGTTACAACTAGTGATGGGACGATTAATCGGAATCGTATCGGAATAATCAAAGTATCGGGAATTTTCCAAAGCATCGAGAATCGGTATCGGAGCTGAATAATTCAGACCCAATTCCGAAACCAAAACGATTCTTAACTGATTAACTGCCGTAAGCCGGTGATAGCGCAACGTTTGTTTCGCGTTATAATATTATTTATGTTGTCCCCAATAGCATATTGTAAAGCTTCGATAGCAAGTTAATAAACTTTTCTAATCAATTCTCAACTTTTATATTAATTAAATATGTCAATACCTGGGCACAGTAATACATAGATGTAATAATGGCCAGGAATCGGAATCGTATCAGGAATCGTATCGGGATTCGGAATAATTGGGTAGAATCGGAATCGTATCAGAATCGTTAAAAATTTTGGTATCATCCCATCACTAGTTACAACTACAATACTCTGACTAGATTACAGCTGTAAAAAATAATTAAAACTATGACGTAGATGCCGGCAGCTATTTGAAGACAAATATGTTTGCAGTCTCTTGTTATAAAAGAACACATTATTTGAGTTGTTGTTGTTGCTTGCTTTTTTTCGTTGTATCATTTTTTCCATCTAAACTTAAAAGTTGACAGCAGTCACGTGACACTATATGCCGGCTCGGCAGCAGTCACGTGACACTATATGCCGGCTCGGCAGCAGTCACGTGACACTATATGCCGGCTACGCAGCAGTCACGTGACACTATGCCGGCTTCCACATGCAAAACTATAATCAGGTGTGTGTGTGAAGTTATCCGAAGTTTTCTGAGGAACGAACTCTAGAGCGCCCCCTGACCTGCTGCACCCTCCCCTCCACCTTTATGCGCCCTTGTTTCTCCTTCCCCCCAGCCTCGAGTAACATTACAAGACCAACACACCCTCCACCTTTATGCGCCCTTGTTTCTCCTTCCCCCCAGCCTCGAGTAACATTACAAGACCAACACACCCTCCACCTTTATGCGCCCTTGTTTCTCCTTCCCCCCCAGCCTCGAGTAACATTACAAGACCAACAGCTTTTTAGCTACCTGAAAGCTCCGCCCCCTTTCAGCAGCTGCTTCTCAATTTTAAGGTATAGTTCTGGTTGTGGGTTGCAACGACCGGGCAGATTTTGTAAGGGGTGGCGGCATTACTAAGGTTGAGAACCACTGTGGAGGATTATAGTATTAAGCTATTCGTGTTTTGATTTCTTCAAATTTGATGGCTACGTGAACGCTACTGACTACTGGGTCTATACATGCGCTTTTCACGTCTCCCCATTTATTCTAAATATGAATTTTTTCACTTCTTCCCATTGGTTCTATTCATGATTTTTTTCACTTCTCCCCATGGGATGCAACATATTAGTCTAGAGAAAATGAGAAGATTTTTAATTTTTTTTTTTTTTTTAAATCACAAAGTCCTGGACTGGGACCCGCCGGGTAGTGTCTCAAAGTACCCTGACCGGATGTAAACAAACTGCACCCGCCTCAGCCCTGCTAGATGGCATTGCATGTTTATGAAAAGCTCACATATAGTCAACATTGCAACGTAACTAAGATCAAGTAAAACAAAAAAAGCGGGTTGTTTGATAAATATCACTAATAAAAATATTATTGGAACTTTTTCACGGAAGGCCTATAGCCTAGAGTTGCGGTACTTATTGCTATGAACCAAACTGGTTGACATGTCAGTAGCTCAGAGGCAGATAGATTGGGAGAGAGTGAAAGATTGATAGAAAGAGTGATGGAGATATAAAGAGAGAAATATATATTACTTGTAAGCGGGGAAGTAACTAATTGTAGCACACCCGTTTATGTTATTACGTGCCTCTTCCTCTATGCATCGGCATCAGTGGTTATCAATCTAATTTCTATGAGGGCTAAACATGATCTAGCCAAATAAAACAAGTAAATTAAAGAAATGAATTTTTCTTTTACATATAGCTATCTTTAAGTTTAGGATATAAAAAAATAATGGATCATGATTAGCAATAAAGCATATATTCATTATCGGGATTATCGCCCATTTGGTACCAAACCTGCAACACCAAAAGCATGTTGCAAGCATGTGTTGTTGTATCGAATGGATATCGGATTTACTATAAAAATAAAAAAAACACTTTTTTAAATATAAGCTTGAATAAATAAAATACTTCAATGCCATTTAACAAGAATATGTATTTAAGTTAATATATTTTCAATGAAACTTTGAAAATAAGATTTAATAAAGCATTTAATCGTGTGCATGGGGAGAGGACACCGCGTATTTATGTCGTATCTATGCATCGTATCCTTTCGAAGCCTTCTGTTTACTGCTATCTCAGCTTGACCTACTTCGCCCGTCTGCGCATGCGCTTCGGACCTCGCTGGAAGGAACTAGCGTTGGAAGTGCACGAAAGCAGATAAAACGGAATGGATTGCTCGTAAACAAATCAGCTGTGGCCTTTTCCTTTTATTTAGTGTGCCTGTGGACCCAAAATATGACACAAGAAGGCTTACTTAGCCTTCACAAATATATTTTGGTATGATCGAGACTAGCGAAATTCTGGATCTTACCGACGGAAACTCTGCGGAGCGGTCAAACGATGACCAGCACGCTCATCAAGGAGCAGTCCTCAGCTCGGGGCATCCCCTTCTACCCGGCAGACAAACCACCCCAAGTATTTCATCGCTTATTAACGTAAACGATATATCAGAAATGACACCGAAAGAGGATTCCAATGGTAAATAAGTCTATATTTTCCCCCTTATTGTGTTGGCTCAATAATTTCACCCGGTTATCGAAACCCTCATGGCCGATCAGACGATGATAGTGAATGTGTCCTATTTTCAGCCCATGTGATGTGGATGTGCCGAAATATTGAGACTTAATAAACATGTCAGAGGTCAAATTTTCTCAAGCAGTTTCTAATTTTTACAGAATTGAATGCGCAATATGCACATTCCTACTTAAAATTAAGGTATAGTTTTTTTACATTAATATTCAGAACAGCTGATTTATCCATCTACTATAAATACTAAATGTCTGTGTGTCTGGAGGTGTGTCACATTCACAATCTCACACACACAGTCACACAGGCTTCAAGTAGGCCTACATTAAAGTTCTTTTGACTAGTCAAGGACATACCATATGACAAGGGTTATGGTTACAACTTGGTTGCCCCTTACAGTACTTACAACTTACACCCTTTTATGATCAGAATTGTTGGAATAAATTGTTGTTCAGCTGCCTAATAAGTATAATTATTTAATTTTTAATAGATAGAAGGACCTAGACCTAAAGTAAATTTCAGAAATTTAATCATTATTATTAATTATAAATTTGATAATACTGATCACTGATACATTTATTCATCAATAAAATAATAGGCAGAAACTGAAATGGTTTTTAAAAGCAAATTTATTTTGATTAAAGTTAAAGTAAACCAAATTCATTATTCCCTAACAAGGATGATTTTGGGTTAGCGGCAAAAATAAAATAAGGGAATTTTAAAATTTAATTAATCAAAATACAGCACTTTAAGCACGCTTCTATTTTTTCACAGGTGTTGGTTGGGTCTTGGGGTATAAGTAAAGATGTGTTTCTTTTTTCCTTTCTTTTTGAAACTTTTATTTTGAATTTTAACACAAATTAATGGAACATTTCATTTCAATATACTTCATATTAACCGTATCTTTTAATGACGCAAGTAATTCTCAGTAAAGAACAGGAATGTTATCACACGCATCGTTCAGGTCTATTCACCCGAAGTGTTCGGACTCTCCAAAGTGACATCACTGCGCTTAGGCTTAGGGTGAGAAAACTCTTGGCACAATCCATACAAAAATTAAATAGGCTACTATTTTTTCTTCTCAGGTTATCAATTTGAGTGACAAATGAGACATAGTACATGGTGAAGCCTGTTTTGAAGTATAAACAAATCCCATTGACGTCATTGAGCATTCACATAGGTCTATCAGAAGATAAATACAATTGGAAATTATACAATTGTTCTTGGAATCACATCCTTTTTAAATTATTACTTTCCCCACTTGTGTTAAGTTTACTGATCAAATTTTAATTTATATAAATTATTATCTGTACAATATGCCTGTAACCAAGTAGTTCATTCTCAGTGCTGACTTTTTTGTTAGTGGGGAAGTAGGGATAAAGATAGGTATGAATACGATCAGTAAGTTTAGTATGAAATTTATTTTATCTGGATACATTTTAGTTGTAATATGCCATCCATTTAAGAATTATTTTGTTTGCAAATTTTTCACCCACTTGCAAAAATTGCCAAAAATATTTAAAGATTTTTTAGGTTGTTTAAGGGGCCATCCATAAATCATACATAGGGGAGACAGGTTGTCACCTTGGAGAGAGTTTTAGAGAAACGTTTTCAAGGATAGAGTTACACATAAAAAAACATCATTAGATAAATGTTTAAAAAAAATTATGATGCCAAGATAATTTTCATATAATTTAACTAGTTCAAGTGACGATGACTGATAAAGAGATAGTTAGCAAATTCACTATCAACTTTTTAATCCACTGCAGTATTATAATGTACTACGGTTATGGCAATATGTTTTTTACTTAAATATAAATAAAAATCCTAACCATTTTGTTTTGGAAATAATTTATTTTCAGCATCCAATTCTATGATTGACCCGGATTTTAAAGATGTAAAAATGGGGTTTGAGGAGCTGTGCCCTGTGTGTGGGGATAAAGTGTCAGGATATCATTATGGCTTACTCACCTGTGAAAGTTGTAAAGGTAAGTAATTTTAAAATCTTCAGTCTACCCACTAACACCAAAAAACTTTTTGTAAAAATAAGCAAAGGGAGAGCACTCTATAATACATGCACCCCCATGTTATAACAAAAATATTTTTTAACACCTAAACATCAACCTATGTTTACAAAACATGCAACAAAATATAGAAAATTGAATAACCTTTTCAAAAATGTATAGTTTTCTATACTTTAATTCACAAATATGTTTGCTTTTAATTATAAAAGTTAAGTTAAAAAAAACTTCCTATGAAAGTTATCAGCGTTGACCTCCATGGTTTGTGTTTTACTTTGATTTTAGAGTCTGGTGGAATTTAGAATCACAGCAGCCCTTGTGTAGATGAACCTGGCACAAATGACAACCAGTTGTTGTTTCCCTAGTTCTACCACTGTTCCATCTTGTTACCACTTGAGTTTTCTTTCAGTCATTGGATGCAAACATGTACTGACTGCTGTATGGGCTGGATCTGCCAGAGATACTCAGTGTGTCAGGCTGCCAGAATTTGGTAGCTGCAGTCAAAAGTTGGTCTAGTGCAGGCCTTGCGAAACATCAGATGGTTATGGGCTTGAGAGTCTTAGGCATTTAGATCCTCTGCTAGAGGAAAATAAATTGTTGCAAAACAATTCATGATACCTATCCAGGTATGGTGCCGTCACTGACATAACTATATAATATCCCAGTCCATGATCTGATGGATTGTTACTTTTGCCAGATAAACTTAAAAGTTAAGAATATAACATTGTTTTCGCTTCAGCGCTGCACCAAATTTTGTTGCTCCAATGAGTTGGCTTGTTACTCAAGTACATGGATTGGCACAGATTCCTAATATGGCCTAGTAATGGTCTCATTTTGGGGATCATAGTTCACACTATTCTTGTCCGAAATTTTTTCACTGTTGGTGATATGAAAATACTGTCTAATTTTTCATATTGGGTGCACCCCATATCATCAACAACTGCAGGGACCCTCCAAAGTTTGTCACTAGACCAGTACAATTTGTAGTGTGCAATTTATGTAGCTCAAACATAATATTTATATACAAGAATTTACAAATATTCTCATTAGTAACAGCCTTCCACTGGGTGTCTTTTCGGCCCTTAGCATACTGCTGTTGCTCATCGTATCTGTTGGTAAGTTCCTCCATGGCATCGGTTACAAACAGTTTGAAGTAGACTATTGGACTGCTTTCAATAGGAAGGTTATGGATGCCACTTTCTATCTCACTAAATATCTCCATCTTATCAGTTACACTGGTCACATTGTCTGAACAAGACTAAGTGACAGTCTCTTGATTCATCATCATCAATGGCACTACAGCCCATGTAGGGCCCTGGCCTGCTCCACCACATCCTTCCATTCGGAGCGATCCATGGCTTTCCGTCTCCATGCTCGAAACCCTACTGGTGTAAATCTGTCTCCACATCATCAATCCACCTCATCCTTGGGCGACCGATGAGTTGTCTGCCCCTAGGCTTCTGCCTGTATATGATTTTGGCTGCTCTGCATTCCGGCATCCTTTCAACATGACCTGCCCAGCGTATTCTGCCTTTTTTTATCATTGTGACTATGGGTGGTTCTTTGTACAAATCGTAAAGTTCTTGGTTTGTACGTATTATTGTCTTGATTGCTTTCGTCAATGTCACTTTCTTATCTGCTGAATAATTAGAAGTGGAGGCAGCAATCAGAGTCAAGAAACTGAAACGCCATAGCCAAATAATTCTTGGAAAACACAATCACAAATTCACTAAGCTTAGACTAACTTCAACACCACACAGCTTTCCAATCGTAAATGGTAGAACATTTGTTTAAAAAAAAATATAGAGGCAGCTTTGTTCTTACTTCTTTAAAATCCCAAAGCTATTAGCAAGGCAGCATTGCTTCTCGCTATATAATGTGTTATGTATATATTGATAGGCGTGATGGTGCATTCTGTGGCATTAGTGGCAAAGCTAAAATGTCGCATGTGGTTGCAATAGTAGCGTAAGGGTTAATGATTATTTCTCAACCATGACCAATTCAGTTAAGAATATATAATCAGGCTATTCATACTTAATTTTATTTAAAACTTAAAAAAATACTATAAGATAGGACAAAAATTAAATGTTTACTATTTCAAGTAAAAATCTAAAATTCTTCACATAATGAACTTTGGATATCTCACGACAGGATTCTTCAAGCGGACTGTTCAGAATAAAAAGGTTTATTCATGTGTGGATAACCGCAATTGCCAAATTGACAAAAGCCAGAGAAAACGTTGCCCTTACTGCAGGTTTCAGAAATGTCTCAGTGTGGGGATGAAATTAGAAGGTAAAAATTTCACTAAATTACTAATTTTGTTGTCCTTTGTTAAAAAAAAAGTATTCTCTTTGTTAAAATTATGTTACAATATTTTGATATTTTCTTGGAAACTATTTTATGTGAGTTTAGTGCTTATAGTCTGCAAATTTTTATTTTCAGCTGTGCGATCAGATCGAATGCGTGGGGGGCGAAACAAATTTGGGCCCATGTATAAAAGAGACAGGGCTCTGAAGCAACAGGCAGCGAGGCAGGCTCATGCCATTCATGGGGAACTGCCGATGTTAACCAATGGCATGATGGGAACGCCAGGATCCCCAGAAGATGTCAAACCCGACCCCCTGTTGCTTCAGGCCAGCCTGAATTTGTATTCTGGTGCCATATCAACTTCATCTACCTCTAACCTTATATCTGGGTTAATCCCTGGCCTCAACTGTTTGTCTGCCACCGCTGCAGCACCATCATCGTCTGCTTCATCTGTGGTTGGCCACAACGGCTCCTCCTCTCCTCCCCCCGCCCACCCTCACCACCTACCACACAACAACCAGCACAACCCCCACCAAGGCCTTGCACCTATGACAGCATCTCAGGGCTTCTCATCAAGTTTTGGTCATATCTCAGCTTTGGGTGTTCCCCAGCCACACAGTCCAAAGACTCACTACTCGCAGCAGCAGCAGCACCGCCATCACAACAATAATAACCAGCTACTACAGCAGCATCAACAACAGCACAGCCCCATGGAGCGAGGTGACGACAGCCCTCCCGGCCAGCACCACCATCCACAACACCATGTGTCGCATCACATGCAGGCCTTATCTGACATTCAGCTTCATTCAAGTCACAACCAGGCCCAGCTCCACGGCATGATGCCTCAACGTCGTCTTGTCAACAATAATAACAACAACAACAACTCTATTGGTGCCAGTGGTCAGGAGAATGAGCCCAACTTCCCGACCTCTTCCCAAGCCAGTCCTAATGTGATAGAGGCTCTCAGAGCTTTCCAAATCCAAAGTCCCATGAATATTGGGCCATCAGAACATTCGGTTTTATCTCCTCTCATTGCTGAAATAAAGGCCACCATGGGAGATGAGACAGAGGTAAGTACCACCACACTTGACATTCTTAAAGAGCTCTTTTAGCATGATCCCAGAGATATTATGTATTATAAGACGTTGCCATAATTGAGTCCTAACAGTTTTTTTTAAAGTCATTAATTATTATTTATTGGACTACAAGAATCTTCCTATTACTTAGAAGTTTAGCTTAACTTCCTCAAAACTGCTCTAGTTATACATATTGCTTGAAATAATTATATTACATGTATAAGTCTTTTCTCTCTATTTTTGCTATCAAGCATGGTTTTATTAATTTTTTTTTTCAATTGACTTTTTAAAAAATCAGACAGCTCATAAATGAAATGTGATGGTTTGAGACATGATTAAGCTGATTTCCATGGCTAATTCATACATTTTTGTGAGGTTGTCTTGTTCATTTGCAGTTAATTGAGGGATGGCCAACCCCATATGCGCCCCGGCACATTTTTCCAGAAGTTTCACAAATACACTTCTTTCTCCATTCAAAGTACATGAAATTTATATCCGGCACTAAGTGTCATGACATGCTGCCCGAAATAGTGAACTTGCAATCAAATTGGTGTGAGGCCATAATTTGGACTAGCCGTTATTTCCCTCATTTTTTAAAAAATTATGGATTTTGAAGCATATTAATGTTTGTAAACATTCAACACAATATAGTTAATAGTATCTTTAAATATAGGTTTTGGATTTACAAGTACTGAATTAAATTTAAGTAAAATAATATTAGAAAAATAAATAAAATCTTACTTTAAACTTTTTGAAAGAATTTAAAACCTTTTCCTTAACTAAAATTTCTCATTATATTCTTATTGTAAAATGTTGTCATGGTTAAAAAATAGATATATTTATGTGCTGAAATTGAATTAGTACAATGTAGTAAAAAAACAAACATTTCCTTTTATTTGGATCAATAAAAGAATCTTATCCTATAAAAATGAAAATGAAATATCAAATAATTAACTAAAACAAAGTTTTTAAACCTTATAGTAAACAAAAGACATAGTCTTTATTTAATAATAGTATAAATTGTAGTTGCTATCTAATCTATATGTATTTCAGTTTCACCCTTTTAAATTATGAATATCAATGTTATAATGTCATCATTGTCATTCAATTACACTGATTGATTTCTCAACCCCAAGTTGATTAATAATTACTAAAAACTGAAAAGTTTAATTGAATAAAAAGGAAATTTGTTATTATAAAATTGTGGAATCATACATAATACGTATATAAAAAGTTAAATATTATGTGAAAAAAACAAAACAAACATAAGTTCTTTTTAGCACATGCCTTTTATATAAATAGATAAGATAAATAAATATAATAAAAATGAATGGTGCAATTTAAATCACCCGAGCCATGTACACATTGTTTGTGCCTAAAGAATATCTATTACACAATATTAGCTCCCAAAATTAGCCTATTAATAACAAAATGTGTGTGCAGATCGATTTCTCTGTAGGCACTGTTAGCTTATCTTTTTTTCTCTCACATATGCAGATCTTAGAGGGAACATTGCCAGCAAAGCTCTGACAAATTTACCACAACACACTAACAAAAGCAGAGAGCTCTTAGTTTGGTCAATATTTTTATTTCCTGTTGAGAATTCTTTGTAGTATTTCTTGAAATCTTATTTTATTAAGTTGTTGTTGAGATATTTCAAATTCTGTTAAGTAATAAATCTCTATTACAATGGTCATTGATTACCTGCTAAATGCTAAGGCGCTCCTGCATCAAATAGCTCATTATTGAGACCATGTAAAATATTAATGAATTTCTCTTCAGGCACTTTTCAATCATAGAACTGTTATGTCTTCTAATTGTAAAGGTCATTGTGAAAGGGAGGGGGGGTGGTGGTTATCTTTTACTATATGTCATGGGAAGGGTTGAGGGACGACTGACATTTTATAATCTTTCAGTCTGATGCCAATTAGGATCTTGTTTACAAACACACAAAGATAACTGGGGATGGTCGTTATTTGTATTCCAATGTTCTTTATTTGTGTGGAGGATGTGGCTATGTGTACTTTAATGTTTATAGTTTTAGAATTAGGAAAACCTGAACAACATATAAACCATTGCTTGTATTTTCTTGACACACTTTGTATCTTAACAATTGTGGATGTTCAACATTTAAATCGACAAAATCCCCAGCTTGATTTGATTCTCTTAATAGATTAAAATAATTATATATATTATTTAGCTTGTTAAGCAAATGCTTCTTTCTTTTGTTTAATACTTAAATTTTGATTGTATTTTGTTTTCTAACTGTAAATATCTGCTTTTGTTGCACAGGTTAAACACAAGATGTTGAGCTTCATGCAGAATGAGTTGTCTCAAACAGATATCCTGTCAAGTCCTGAGCAGTTCCTCCCCCTGTTGTGTAGGATGGTGGACCAGCTTTTATTCCTCATGGTCGAGTGGGCACGAAATTCATCTTTCTTCAAGGAAATTAAGGTTTGTTTTTACCCAATTGCTCATTTGATGGGAAAAATGATCCAATAGATTCAAACTGTATTTACATGAGGTGGAGAGACTTTAAAAAAAGTGTTTCTTTTTAATTGCAGAATTAAAATTTTGAACAAATTTTTAATTATTGCCCAACAACTAAAATTTATCACAGTTCGTTTAACAACACTTTTGATTTGGTAATTAATTACCGTAATGGAAATAAAATTTAACTGAATAAAAAATTTTAGGTTTTAAAAATGATGAAGTACTCCATAAGAGAATTTTTAAAAAAGTCAATGCATTGATTGCTTATTTTAAGAGGGAGTTTTAATTTTGATGTGCCATTATTTCATCATACTGTTTGGTCGGCGTTCTGAACCGGTTCAGTTAAAATCATATTTGATTAGATTAAACCAGTGGTTACCAAACTGCACATACTAAACATATAAACCTGAGCCAGTAGCTGCATCTACCCCAGTTTTCAACTTGCAAACCAGTTAAGACATGCCACAGGTGTTAAAATGCTTAGTTTACTGACCCAACAGGTTGAAGACCAGATGAAACTGTTGCACAACAGCTGGAGTGAGATCCTCATACTGGACTTCATCTACCGCCAAGTCCACAATGTCTGGGGCAAGGAAATAGTCACAGTGAGTTGACTCCTTTTACTTGCACAGTTCTCTTTCAATGTCCAGCAAAGTCTTTACATCAGGGCTCTCAAATCGCGGGTCATTTGCAGCCCGCAAGACGATATTTTTTGGCCCGCTACATGACAACAATGTTTAGTTTTAATGCGATCCTTGCGTTGTCCCCATTCTCATATTTATAATGTGATCGCGCCAGTTTCAGTCGAATCTCACCGACTAGTCTAATTCTGCTTTTTATTATATTTGTATAGATTTGGGCGTTCATTATAATGATAAAAACCATTTTAAGATCGGACTAAAAGTTTTTATTTTATAGCATTTTATTTGAAAAACATAACCAAAGCGCCATTTTGAGAAAAGTTTAAAAGGTCATTTAGTGAGTAATGCACAACCATAATAGTGTAAATCGTAGCAAAAAGAATCCCTATTAAAATTGCCGCTAGTGTTGACAAGTGAGGGAAATTCCGAACCTGTCAGCTTGGTCATTTTCAAAATAGGGTTAGTCAAAAAAGCCTTTTCTACAATAAAAAAACAACAACATTTATTCTCCCTACAACATCATCTTCCTTCGCATCAATAATTCATAAATATTGCCTGCTCCTGCCTACCGTTTGAACACGTTTTAGCATTTAAAGCCTTCATGGAGGAGGATGGGGTGGTTGTATCTGTACTAAGTGATCCCAAATGGGCTGGGCTCTTCTAGTGGACATTACACAGGAGCTGAATGTACTCAATAAGAAGTTACAAGAGCAGGGGGCAGCTTGTCAGTGTTGCCTATGACAATGTCAGGGCATTCTGTACAAAACTTGTGTAAGGAGTAGGAGGAAGAAAGTGAAGCCTAGCTCTTGAGAACCCTTAAACTTAATGTTTTTATTTGTTATTAACTCTTTTCCCTCCGGAATTAATTTCCACGTTTTGACGGAATTATCTATTTTGGGTTTTTGTTACGCACTACTATGTTTTCTCTAAACCTTCATAACTTTTTTTGTTTTTAATCAGAAAATGTTAATTTTGGTATGGAATTAAAGGGAAATGCATGCTCTTTGCAAGCAAACAAGATTTGGGTTTAAATTTTAATAAATAAATGTGATTGTGATTTTAGGAAAATAAAAATTTATTTAAAAAAACTCACCAAATGTTCACAAAACGCTCATTCCAAGTCACACGAAGAGAAATATATCATCCAAAGTGTAACACAAATGGTTTTTTCCTGAACTTTATCTTTATGTGCATAACAAATAATAAAGATCAACTTTCAAAAAAGAAAAAAATTAAACCTCAGAGCACATTATCTATTGTCACCGCCACACAAAAAAATTAGCAAAAAAATGAAAAAACTAATTCCACTGGAAACAATTTGTTGCTATTTAGAAAATAATTGCACTGTATCCTTGTCTGTACTAACATTTATTATAGTCAATGGAGAATTTACCATACATTAGTCACATATTTCCATCTGGGTTTAGCTATAGTAAGCCTAAAAACAATCCATATGGTTGTGCCCTTTAGCTGGGGGCAGGGCTGGTTGTTCATCAGCTGATGAATTACCAATTTCATTATTTTGTCACTAGTACTACTAATACTAGTACTAGGATTATAATCATACGATTCAACAGAATCAGCCTCTGCGTTTGAAATCATAAAATCACTGTCTGAATCATCAACCTTTATTAGATCGATCACCAGATGGGTCAGGTCAAAATTTCTTGTTTGTAAACAAAAATAAAATGGACGATCAAAACGACCGCTTCAAACAATTCGTTCTTCGTTCAAACACAGTAAAACCGGATGTTTATGAAAGGGAAATCATTCTAGAATTGATTTAAAATAACTAAATACCAATACAGACCTGTTTACTCTTACGATTTTGGCGTACAATGTACGATTTTGAGGTGTATAGATTGTATATACTGTATGTTTTTTTTTTACTATGAATATAACGTATTAAATGACTTTGTGATGATATTGTACGATTTTTAAGAGTTTGAGGGTAAACAGATCTGCCAATATCTAAGAAAAGAACGGAAATAAACCAAAATAAATACATCGTCGATACGCCAAAATCTTAATTTCAAATCGACGATGGGAGCGTTGATCTGGAGGGAAAGAGTTAATAAAGGTTGAGCAGATTGTAACAGTTGTACTTTATTAAATTTGTAATCGCCTTGTTGTGGAAAACTTGATGAGGCCGAGTCTCACTCAGACTACCTCCTGCGGCCCCCGGATGGTTTGAGTTTGAGACCCCTGCCTTACATTTTCATCATCTTAAATCCTTAAGTGGATATTTCTTCTTGTCAGTATTCTATTTTTACTGCTATAATCTTTCAGAATTCAAATCTAAGTTTTAAGCTTAAAAAAACCCCATTATCCTTGAAATGTTTGAGGTACTATGAAATATATTGACTCGTCACAATTAAAGCTTGGTTTTTCTCCAGTGGTATATTTGTGATATCCGTAACCTAGTATCTAATTTGTTGACTCTAATTGTTCCAGCCCAATGGTCCTGGGATTGGGTTTGAGATACTGGACAAGCTTGGACTAGGGGATGTCAAGGCCAAAGTGTTTGAGCTGATCAAAAAAGGAAGAGAGTTAAAGATGGACTTCACTGAATACATGTGCCTTAAGTTCCTTATCCTGCTCAACCCGGGTTAGTCCTTAAATAATCTACTTTCCTGCTCAATACAATTTTTTGGCTCCCATGGTAATGAGCAAATTTGTTGTAGAAATATTTTTTGTGGTTATTTATTTACATGTAAACCTGGTATTGTATTGTCCCGCAGATGTGTCCAGCCTTGAGAATCGAAGCTTCATAGAACAGAGCCAAGAGAAGGTGAACGCGGCCCTGTTTGAATACTGTCTGCTGTTCTACCCTGAAATGGGGGACAAGTTCAGCCAGCTCTTGATGAGGCTGCCAGAGATCCGCCTGATCTCCATCAGGATTGAGGACTTCCTTTACTTCAAACACATGAGCAATGAAGTGCCTGATCAGACTTTACTCACCGAGATGCTGCACGCCAAGAGGCGCGGCTGAACACCGGAAGTGTCCCTGCACTTGTGAAAACCAAAGTGAGTTGATGGTAGTGTGCACACTGGGTGTGGGTTGGGATAGAGGAAAGCACCCTGTGTGATGAAAGGGTTTGGCAGGTTAATCCAAGACAAGACCGCACTGTTGGGAGCAGGCTTTGGTAATGACCTCATGAGATATATGGAGATACAGAGGAACAATTACAATTATATATAGTGTTGCTGGATGTTAAAGTAGTCTGAAGTTGCAGTAATAGGGATGTAATTGCACATGACTTTTACAGTTTGACTGTACTTACAGTGCAAAATATGGACGAAAATTCCAGTTTCATCAAGAAATGATTGGGAAAAAATAAAGATGAAGAAAGTAGCTACAAGTTCTAATACACCAAGTGTTATTTTCAATAGGTATTTTTGTTAAGTAGAGGAGTGTTGAAATAATAAAAACCAGATGTATTATTTCAAACTTTTGTTTTTAACCAACTGCCAACTTTTAAAATGTTGTTTTGTGATGGGGCACTAAACCATTGTGGTGATGATAGTGATGACGGTGGCAATGTGATGATAGTGATGACGGTGGCAATGACAAGGTGGATGTGTACATTTGGACATTTGTATTTTAATTTCTCTCTCTAAAAAAATATCAGACATCAATTTTTACGGGTTTTAGCTTTCCTTGTGCAAAAGATCATTTCTGCTTCATTTTTTTATACTCACTCATTAGAATGGATGTTCTTTTTAAAAATCCTTTGCCTATGATCCTGAATTTTTAGAGGAAGACTTGGATATCATATTTTAAAAACAAAAATAATTGTTACCATTTGACATTTTTTAAAAGATTGTAATTTCCTTTGTTTTGTTTTAGCCAATGGCTTTTGTCAATAGTGTGAAGAGTTAAGTTTGTTTGCACTCCGTGTTGTACAAATACATCTATCTGATATTACAATGTGATGTGTGAGGGGGGGGGGGGATTTAAGCTCAATCTAATTTTTTAAAATCATTATCCATTAGAAAAACAAACAACTCATTGAAAAGTTATAAAGATTCGTAATGTTAAAAGAAAAAAAAAGATTTAATTTTGTGTGTTGCACACAGACATAGATATTTGTTCCTAATGGTTAAGGAATGTGTCTCTTTAAGTCAGCTATATTGAAGAAGATAAGATTCTTGTCTGTGTGGGTTTCCACTCAATGGCAGTCTCTGTTAGTGGCAGTGTTTTGGTGAAAATAAAAGTTATGTTTCAGGGCTGTGCTTGATATGATGATCTAATGTGCACCAAATGGCATTGTTTTCATGCAAAGATGCAGAGCTTTCATTGTAACGTATGGTCAGCTGTTAAAGTTGTGACCAAAGTTTTCATTTGTGTTGTTGTACACCACCTGTAACATCCTCATTTGAAGGAAGACAAGCCAAGAAACTTTCTATTTGTTTCTTGAATTATCTTATTTTGGAGTGAAATTTTGCAAAGATTGACTGACCTCAAGCAGAAATACAAGTGAAATATTCAGCTTCATTTCATGAGTCCTTCGGTCATCTTTTAACTTAGATAAGACATGCATGGCAATACAGAGTTTCTCAAATGGTGTAGACAAGAATTGGTTCTCAATAACTTGTGATACTTATGTCTGATTTTGTTGCTGGTGTCAGTCAAACTATCTTTCTCATTTTTAAGAAGAGCCCCCAACTGTTCACACATTTACCTTAGGAAAATGATTCAATAAATTTAAATGAAATATTTAAATAGAAAGTAATGATAGGGTAATATACCAGGATTAAAGCCTTTCTGTGGATGGTTGACCAACCTAACCCATGGCTGCTGTCCAACCTAACCTATAACTGTCGTCCAACCTAACCCATGACTGCTGCCCAACCAAACTTATAACTGTTGTCCAACCTAACCCATGACTGTTGTCCAACCCAACCTGTGACTGTTATACAACCCCACCCTCTGACTTATCAAACACCAACCTGTGACTGTTCTACAACCCCAACCTGTGACTGCTGTACAACCCCAACCTCTATGGGCTAAAGTGTGATGCTATGAATGATCTCAGAATTATTTCCATTGTCAAATTCATCTGAGTAATTTGTCACCTTCCAAGTTTTGAAATATTTCACATGGACTGAGGCTGTCATATCCCAACATGGACTGAGGCTGTCGTATCTCAGCATGGACTGAAACTGTCATATCCCAACATGGACTGAGGCTGTCATATCCCAACATGGACTGAGGCTGTCATATCCCAACATGGACTGAGGCTGTCATATCCCAACATGGACTGAAGCTGTCATATCCCAACATGGACTGAAGCTGTCAAATCCCAGACAAAGTTAATGTTTCTCCATATAATCCCCATTGTTTGTTTCTGAAGTTTATAAAGTTACCCTCATGCCCCTCCTCCACACGTGGACCTTTTTGTGTTACAGTATAATGTGGGAGATAACATTAGGCTACAGTATAATGTGGGAGATAACATTAGGCTACAGTATAATGTGGGAGATGACTTTAGGCTACAGTATAATGTGGGAGATAACATTAGGCTACAGTATAATGTGGGAGATAACATTAGGCTACAGTATAATGTGGGAGATAACATTAGGCTACAGTATAATGTGGGAGATAACATTAGGCTACAGTATAATGTGGGAGATAACATTAGGCTACAGTATAATGTGGGAGATAACATTAGGCTACAGTATAATGTGGGAGATAACATTAGGCTACAGTATAATGTGGGAGATAACATTAGGCTACAGTATAATGTGGGAGATGACTTTAGGCTACAGTATAATGTGGGAGATAACATTAGGCCACAGTATAATGTGGGAGATAACATTAGGCCACAGTATAATGTGGGAGATAACATAAGGCTACAGTATAATGTGGGAGATGACTTTAGGCTACAGTATAATGTGGGAGATAACATTAGGCTACAGTATAATGTGGGAGATGACTTTAGGCTACAGTATAATGTGGGAGATAACATTAGGCTACGGTATAATGTGGGAGATGACTTTAGGCTACAGTATAATGTGGGAGATGACTTTAGGCTACAGTATAATGTGGGAGATAACTTTAGGCTACAGTATAATGTGGGAGATAACATTAGGCTACAGTATAATGTGGGAGATGACTTTAGGCTACAGTATAATGTGGGAGATGACTTTAGGCTACAGTATAATGTGGGAGATAACTTTAGGCTACAGTATAATGTGGGAGATAACTTTAGGCTACAGTATAATGTGGGAGATGACTTTAGGCTACAGTATAATGTGGGAGATAACTTTAGGATACAGTATAATGTGGGAGATGACTTAAGTGTTGCAGTATAGTGTGGGAGATGACCTTAGTGTTGCAGTATGTTGTGGGAGATGACCTTAGTGTTGCAGTATAGTGTGGGAGATGACCTTAGTGATGCAGTATAGTGTGGGAGATGACCTTAGTGTTGCAGTATAGTGTGGGAGATGACCTTAGTGTTGCAGTATAGTGTGGGAGATGACCTTAGTGTTGCAGTATAGTGTGGGAGATGACCTTAGTGTTGCAGTATAGTGTGGGAGATGACCTTAGTGTTGCAGTATAGTGTGGGAGATGACCTTAGCGTTGCAGTATAGTGTGGGAGATGACCTTAGTGTTGCAGTATAGTGTGGGAGATGACCTTAGTGTTGCAGTATAGTGTGGGAGATGACCTTAGTGTTGCAGTATAGATATAGAGTGGAAGCCACTCAAGTATTATTATTCTGTGGATGTAATTTTTGTTGTTGTGTTCCATATTCCAGAGTTGTTACTGTAAATATCATGTATATAGATCAACATATTATATATATATAGATAAACTACTATAATTCTATATAACATTTGTACATAACATGTACAGTGAGCAACTTCACCTGTATATTTGCTATTGTTACACATACAGATGTGTGTGGAGGCTGTAGCTGCAACACACACATTTTTTATTTGAGCACATTATGCGTGCTTTTGTTTGTTTGGGTTATTGCCATTCTTCACTATATGTAACCCTTTCATTCATTCATTCATTCATTGTCTCTTCCCCCCCAGCTTCTAGCTTAAGTTGAAACAGTACCCACTATGTGTATGTAGAGTTGAATGGTTTGTCTCTTTCACCCAATGCTTCTAGTTTAAGAGAACATAATACCCACTGTGTGTATGTAGAGTTGAATGGTTTGTCTCTTTCACCCAATGCTTCTAGTTTAAGAGAACATAATACCCACTATGTGTATGTAGAGTTGAGAACATTAGCTTAAATCGGCCTTGAAATGTGTCTAAATGTTGAGTTAGTGGCTGGGAACATCTGTGTACATGTTGAGTTAGTCGCTGCTAACAGCTGTGTGAATGTTGAGGTGGTGGCTGGAAACAGTTGTGTAAATGTGTATAGTTTCGGCCATCATTTTAATTTTGTGTAAATAGCAAGGTCATTTCCTGAACTGATGCCTTTACATTGTTGACTGTTGTAACGATGAGAAGTCAATGTAGACACAGAGTTAAGTCAAATCATGTCTACGTCATTGGTGTGCCTCACCTGCTTCGGCCAATTTCATCTCATACCTGTCACCCAGCCCTTTCACTTAATCAAAGATTCCTTATTTTACCTGCATTACAGAAAGTGTATAAATAATATTTTGGAAGGAATCCAGTATTTTTATTTGCAGATTTTTTTTTTTACCAATCTTTAAAATAACCCCACAACTTGTCTAAAGAAACATTGAGTTAAAAAGATCAGACTCAAGTATCATACCTATCGATAGCCACAAGTTTAAAATAAACCGGAAACTAACGTGTAGTGAAACACTGAGTTGAAAAGATCAGACTGAAGTATGATACTATCAATGGGCCAAAGCTGGTGTCTACTACTGTTGTATAAAAATCCTAAGCTTTTTCTGTGCGAGATGTTCCTTGAAACATTGTTAATCAAAATACGAAAATCAACAGACGATTAATAAAAATTTGTTGAGCAGTGTAATTGAATGAGGTAATATGTCCTGTCCTAATAGAGCAAATAATAAAGCATCCATGTTGTTGACCAAATGAATACAAACCTAATGATTGGCTGTATTTACTCTGGGATAAGCTGCTGTTCAATATTTCTGCACTAAATAAATTGTTTTTGACCAGTGGCATTTCAAATTTCTACTTTAAAAAAATATTTTTAATAGGCAAACAATTTTGAAGTAAATGCATAATAAAGCAGAACAGTTAAGTCTGATCTAAACAAAAGTTTAATGTAAACCTAGTAATTGAAGACCATAGTGTTTAGAGCACCTATGTCAAAAAAATATACATTTTGAGATAATCCACTTTGAAAATTCAAATAGCCTATCCAATCTGATAATTATGTTTTTTGGTGTTCTCTCCTCATCCTCAGAATAGCAACTTTCGTCATATTTTTATTTATTTATTTTATTTACATACATTACATGTGTCTTAACTAGAACAGTTTCAGTTTTTCAAAAACTGTTGGTTTGGTTTTGAGCAAGTGTGAGCTGGACACTTCAATTCAAGCGCCAGGCTCTTCTATAAGAAATAGATCTTACGGTATTCAGTGTCTTGACATTCTTTTGTTTGACTTTGTATGGCATCACATAGGTCATAAAGTTCTTTGTTTACTAACCAGACTAATCTTGCTTTCCTTGTGGATTTGTTTACCCCCGCCCTCATGCCACTTGCTTCATGCACAACTTTGTGTTTGAATATTTATTGTCTTGACTCCGGTGATGTTGAATAGGCAACTATGCTCTCTGACCAAAGGTCATCCCACATGTTGTTTCTCTCTGACCAGTGGTCATCCAATGTGCCACTCAACTCAAATGATTCTATTGATCTTAAGCCTAGGATGATTTTATTATGAGATATCTATGGGATAGTTATGTTTTTTTAGTAGTGGGCTGGGGAATAGATGGATTATTTAGGAGAGGTCTGGGAAATTGTTGGGATATTTTTAAAGAAAGGTCTGAGAAATAGTTGGAATCTTCAGGAGAATTCTGGGGATTTGTTAAGAGAGGTCTAAGGGGGTGTTTATTTCTTTGGCAGTTAACTGTATTTAAATGGTGAGTTGGCATTAAAATTAATGGTGGTCGAGGAAAAGTTCTGTTTGTACGAGTGATTTATTGTGTCAAATCTAAACCCATTTAATTTTGTGATATCCTATATAAACAGACCTGCGTGGGTGAAATTTCTCTTGTTCAGTAAAGTTACCTAGAACTAAAGATGCAAAAGCTGGTTGTGGAGTGGACAAGTCTTCTGTCTCACTATTCACTCTTTTTGTGTGTGATATTCTCATGGGGCAGAGGTCCTGTACTGACAGGCTGCCTTGGCTGGTGACAGAAGATTGAGCAGACTCTTATTGATGTCTGGCTTTATGTGTCTACAACGTCAAACCATGTTTGTAGATAAGTAGTTGCTAGAACGAAACAGCAAGCCCCCCCCCCCATTGTCTCAAGTGCTTATAGGTCACCTGAATCATTGTACTTGATTGCTTTTTTAAAAACTTATTAATTCCACTACAAGCTGAAATGTATACGCTTGACAGCTTAAAAAATATATGTTTCATCTTTTTCATTATGTGTATAACCCTACTATTATGCCATTCACAATTTTTAATTCCCCACATTGCTTTCAATAGATTAGTCAAATGCTAATAATTATGTTATTGTTTTAGTGAAAATTCGGAACTTTAATTTAAAACAATGAAATAAACATTGTAACTTTTTTTGTGCAATTAATGTGGAACTTTGCTAAAATGTATGGTGAGCACTACTGGCTGTTAAAAAAAACTGCTACATTACAGGCTCAGTTAGACAACCCGCCTGCTAGGCCACACCCCAGGAACACGGACAATTTATCTATTAAATTGAAGATAAATTTCCAGCAGGCCTAACAGTAATCTAAGAACTAATCATTTCAAAATTTTTCATTGTTTTTCAAGTGGGATTTTAATATTTACTCAATAAAAAAAAAGTAATAGTAATAATAAATAAAAAATAGGAAGATAAATCCCTGAAAATTTACTGCAAAAATATCTTTTCATCATAGGGAAGTCGTATCAGAAGTGCTCACCAATGAAACTATTGGCTAGTGATGACATCTGACCTAATCATTCCTAGCAGCTGTTTTCTAACACCCAGAACCGGCACATGAATGTTGGCATGAAAATTCGGACCCAAAGTTCTTAAAGAGTAGGGGCTCAAATGATGAAAAGATTTTTTTGTCAAGTGCCTTACAGAGGGCTTTTAGGACAGATTTTGATAAAGTGTGCAGGGCATTGGGCACGACTGCAGGGTAGTAATGTAAAACATCAATGGCTGTATTATCAACTGCAGCTTAAATAAAGCTGAAGAGAAAAGTACCAAAAAAAATGTATACCATGACATTGTTTAATTTTTCTAATAAACAAGAGTTTCAATTTTCCAGAAGGTAATTTATAAAAAGAGTTTATTTAACACTGAAGCCCTGCGATAAGTTACCTGACACTGCTGTTTGTGGTAATGCAATGCCCGTGGGTGAACATTTGTGTGTTACATAGAAAACAAGGAATGCTACTCAC